CAAACCAGTGAGGGCCGAACTAGTACTCAGGTGGGTGACCACTGGGGAATCCTCGGTGTTGTATGTTTTTGTTTTATTTTTGTTTGGTTGTAGTATTGGGCAGGACTGCATTTCCAGACCGACTGGGAGGCCGCCCGGAAGGAAATTGTATATCCCTTACACATACCGCTAGGCGGAAGTGCAGATGTATGCATACCTTCCTTTCGGTGCGCCTTTAGTGGGGCTGGGACTGGAGAGTAAAAGGTTCAAGGAGAGAAGTCTCAGGGTTGGTTCGACAAGGTCGGAACGGTAAGACTCGATTCCAGAACCATGGGCCAATATCTGAATGGCAATTGGCAACTTGTGGCCCTGAGGGGTTGTTTGCACATGCGACTATCCGTGTCTGCCAGACCGAGTCCTCGGGCGAAGCCTGAATGTTTCAGTAGGTGTAAGGGGAGCAGCTGGACCGATGATGGCGCTGGCGAGATATGCCCGTTTGCACGATACTCGGTGTCGATGCCGGAAGCGATCAGTGTTGAAGCCGGCCTTTCTGCTCTCACTTTGCGCCATGGTCTGCACGACTTGGGGCATCGGACTTGGACCTCGCCTGGCGAGTTGTTTGCAACAGGGTATGCTCAGCCCCAGCGTTCCCAAGCGGCCGAGGGTGTCCTACTTGTGAAACGAGACGGGGACTGCAGCACCTGACCACAGTTTAAGCGGACGTCAGCCCTCAAGTCTAGTGCCACTAGCATACAAAGCATGGTTGTCACCAATCATCATCTTTTGGCTCATGGGGTAGAAGGTGGAACTAACAGCAGTCTAAGTTACAGTTACTATCTCCCTGAGCACTGACTTGGGGGCTGCGCTCACTATCGTTGCGCTCTTTCCGAACTGGAACTAATACGACAGCTTTTATCGACAGTTCTTCAACTAAACCGCTTGCCTAGACAATACAAGACTACGTAGTTCCGAGGATAGAGTGTTTAAGCGTAAGCACATGCAAAGGGACCGGCCGTTCATAGTAAATAGATTGAATCTCGGATAGGTCTGTAAGATCGCGTATCCCAGGTTGGATGGGTTTCTGAGAATAGAAATGAGGGTGCGTGGTGTCTGGAAAAGACCCTTCTCTGGCAGTTCCAATACAGTGCAAAGACCGTGCTTACACTATCCGTATCTCCTATCGCAAGGAGGGGACTTCCAAGGCCAGCAGCCAAGTGGGCCATGCGCGCGCCGGTTCGATTGGCTCCTCTAGAGGCTTCCAGAGGAAAATTTCCATGCTTGGAGCTTCGGCCAATAATGTGGACGTCGATGCTTGAGCTCTAGGTTTTCTGAGCCGTCTCGCCCCTCCCAAAATTTTGTTTCTCCCGTCGCCCAGGCCCAACGTCGACAGCGCCCCCGATCTCTGTGGCACGCATACCCTGAAGCAGCGCACCGCACCCGTCGCATCTTGTACATAGTCGTATCCGCACACAACCCCTTGCCAAGATGATGTCACTACGCAACCTGGCCCGCTCGGCGCCGCGCGCGCTTGCCCGCGCCTCGTCGGCCGCCATCTACAGGCCGGCGGCCTCGGGCTCCCTCCTGACCAAGACCAGCACCCCCTTCGCCTCGGCGCTGAGGACAGCCAGGCAACCGGCCGCCTTCTCGACCTCGGCGCTGAGGAGGGCGGCGGCCGGCGAGGTGGAGAAGGAGCTGGTGGCCAAGCTTGAGAGCGAGATCGAGTTCGAGGCCCAGGTCAAGGAGAGCGAGGAGGAGCCGGCCAGCATCAAGGACTTCCTCGAGAACGGGCCCTTTAAGCTTGAGGACACTCCCGGCAAGGAGAAGGTTGTCCTGACCCGCAACTACGGCAATGAGAAGTATGGGGGGTTTTTCTCTCGCTTCCCTTCTATTTTGACTTTCTTTGTCAAAACTTGCCCCTTTTCGAAATACCTGTCACATCATTGCAGCAATGGCTAACGCGCATCTTCTCCAGGATCACCGTCTCCTTCTCCATCGCCGACCTTGCCACGTTCGACCAGGACCAGAACATGTTCGAGGAGGAGGACCCCGCGCTCGCGGACGAAGGCGAGGAGGCCGAGAGCAAGCAGCAGCAGGAGGTGGAGGAGGGCGGCGAGGAGGAATTCGAGACGCCGCAGGAGTCGGCCATCACGTGCCACCTGACGGTGGTGATCGAGAAGCCCAACAACGGCGCGCTCGAGATCGAGGCGGATGCGCACGGCGGGCAGATCATGGTCAGCAATGTCTTCTACCACAAGGAGGCGGCCCAGGCGTACGCCGAGTCGGCCGAGATCGAGCACAAGGCCCAGGACGTCTACCCGGGCCCCTCGTTCGGCACCCTGGACGAGCAGCTGCAGGTGCAGCTGGAGCAGTACCTGAACGAGCGCGGCGTCAACTCGGCCCTGGCCGTCTTTGTGCCCGACTACATGGACGTCAAGGAGCAGAGGGAGTACCTCACCTGGCTGAAGAACATCAAGGGTTTCGTCGAGGCTTAGAGGATGCGCTCCGAGATTATGGGTGAAGGCGCTGGAGCTTGATGAGACCAGGATATTTTCGGCCGTGTTATTTTCCACTCGATTGTAGATCTTTTTCGTTTATGTTGTCATGACGGTCGAAGTGTACGATGAAGAAGAAACCCGAAGAAAAAAAGATCAAATTTAGTATAAAAAAACCCCCAAAAAAACCCCCCAAAAAAAACCCCTGTCTCCTTTGCGCGAAAGTCGCCGTGGCGGGATCCATCCCGCTGAGCATTGACGGACGCCCACCGTGAGGCTTGGCACCGGCTCTCGAACAGGCTAGACTCGACGGCAACATGATGGTTAAGATCGGGCCTGGGCTCGCGCACGTGAAACGAAACCAGGAGGGCCCCCCCCTTGCTGGGAGGCCAGTGTTGCAGCTGCGGAGCACGCGCATGGGCCGTTGGACGGCAAATGGCATGAATAAGGTGTGGGAAAACATGGGAAATATCTTTTTCGCCGCGTGGGTGCCCCGAGCTGTCGGGGCCAAGTCGTTGAGCTGTCTCTTGGCTTTGATTTCGATCGCAGACTGGTGCTCTGTGTTGCTACAGTGCAAGTTTGCAGCTCCCGTGGTTGGGATCTCTGTCGGTATTTTACTAATAGAGTAAGAAAGAAAGAAAAGAACCTCAACGGCTCGGGCTTTAGACCCAATGCCGGCGCAGGTGTTGGTGCTGGCGCCAATCCGTTTCTTCGGCTAAAGGCCTGGTCGAACCCTCTCCAACCGGGCACCCGAGGGCCCAACCGCAAGCCCGAAAGGATGGGCGACGTCAAGGAGCACAGTAAAGATGACGACCCCGAAAACCAGCAGCCGCGCCCCAATCACCTCAAGCCGTCGATAAACGGCGACTACTACGCGCTGAGGGACGACGACAGCGACGACGAGGAGGCGCAGCTGCTGTCGCCGGGCGCCTTCAACCTCGAGTACGAGGAGGGGGAGGCGACGGTAGTAGTGGTAGCAGCAGCAGCAGCAGCAGCAGCATTAGCAGCGGGAACAATAGCAACAGCAACAGCGGCGGCGGCGGCGCCGAGAGGCGGGCTTGCCGCCAAGCTCGGCTGGCGGGGCCGTCAAGGCTGGCAGTGGCCCAGGGTCGTGGGGGTGGCCTTGGCTTTTGGCAAGCGGCGCGGGGGCGGCGGCGGCGGCGGCGGCAGCGCGGGGGAGGGCGGCCGGGCGGGAAGCGGCCCGACGCGTAATGGTGGTGGTGGTGGCGTTGGCGGTCGCATCGCCCATCTCCTGCCCGACAGGGCTAGGCTCGCCGCAAGGCTTCGAGGCTTGTCTGGACGGCTCCGGCTCGACGGGCCCGACCCGCCGCTGGTGTGCTCCATCAGCCCCCTCAAGGCAGATTGGCAGGAGCGGCCGGTGCTCTGGCTGGAGCGCAAATTCCCTACACGGGCGCGGAGGCTAGCTCTGCTGGTGCTCTTCCTCGCCTGCTGGCTGGTCTTGTTTCTGGTGCCCCTGGCCGTCGGCCACTCGGCCGCCGGGTCCGCCCCGGCAACGTCGCCGGACCAGCAGCCCCAGGCCGCCGTGCCCGTCGTGCACCTCGACTGCGCCGACACGCTCTGGCCGCGCGGCAACCGGTGCGGCCTCCACGGCTTCGACTGCCGCCCCTTCGGCAACAGCTCGCTGGCCTTCCACTGCCCGGCCGGCTGCGCGTCCGCCGGGCCGCTGCTGGACGGGCCGCGCTCCGTCGGCGCCGCCGTCGTGCGCGAGGGCCCGCTCGTCGTCGGCGACAAGTACTACCGCGGCGACTCCTTCGTTTGCGCCGCGGCCATCCACGCCGGCGTGGTCGGCAACGCCGGCGGCGGCTGCGGTGTGGTGCGCCGCCTCGGTCCCGCCGACGTCTTTGGCGCCGCCGGCCGCAACGGCGTCCGCTCCGTGCCCTTCGACTCGTACTTCCCGCTCGCCTTCGCCGTCGACCCCGGCGGCGGCTGCGGCGGCGGCGGCGGTGTCGATCCGCGGGCCGCCCTGCTCGCCATCGGCCTGCTCTTCTCCTCCGTCCTCGTGCTCTTCGCGACCGACCCGCCCCTAATCTTCTTCACCGTCTTTCTCGCCACCTTCGCCCACGTCGGGCTCGCCTCGGACCCGCCGCCCGTCTCGCGCCACTCGGTCGCCGTCCTGCCCGAGCTGCTGTCAACCCTCTCGGCCCGCCTGCCGCCCGCCCTCGTCGTCGCCGCCGTCGCCTACCGCGTCTGCGTCCGCCGCGCCCTGGGCGGCAGCTTCCCCCGCACCGGCCTTCTCCCGCTGCGCGCCCAGGTCGAGAAGCTGCTCCTCTGGCTGCTGCCGCTCTGGCTCGGCGCTTTAGCCAACCACACTTTCGGTGGTGGCGGCGGCGTCCCCGTCCCCGTCCCCGTCCCCTCCTCCTCCTACTACTCCTCCCTTTCCCCCGCCGGTTTCGGCCTCCTCCTCGCCCTCGCGGCCGTCACCGCGCTGCTGCAGGCCCACACCTTCTGGGCCGAGGGCCGCCTGCGCCGCCTCCTGGTCCTGTACGCCGGGCTGGCCACCGCCGTCGCCGCCGCCGCCGCCTCCGCCCCGGCCTGGGGGCTGGAGCTGCGCGCGCAGCCCTACGCCGCGTCGCTGCTCCTCCTCCCCGCCACCGCCGTCCAGACGCGCGCCTCGCTCGCCGCCCAGGGCCTCCTCCTCGGCCTGTTCGTCCACGACGTCGCCCGCCGGGGCTTTGCGCCCGTCCTGCTCGCTTCTCCGGCCACCGCGGCGGCCCGCCGCTCATCCTCCTCCTCCGTCACTACGCTGCCCCAACTGGCCGCGGCGCCCGTCATCAAGACGCCGCCCGCGGGAGCCGGCATCTGGAGCATCTCGTTCGCCTGGGCGTCGCCGCCGCCGCCGCTGGCCGACGGCGTCAGCGTGCTGGTCAACGACGTGGAGCGCCACCGCTCCGTCCTGGCCGAGCCCCGCGCCCCCGGCCGCGGCGGGCCCCTCGGCGACGGCTTCGTCTGGGCCCGCAAGCCCGACGGCGAGCTGCCCGAGTACTTCCGCTTCGCCTACACCTGGGACGGCGAGGCGCTCGACTACACCCGCGCCGGCGTTTGGCACGCAAACGGCACCTGGACCCCGCCTCCGGAACCGGGGGCGCCGTGAAGAGGGGGATAGAGATAGGGAGTAGGTGAAGCGGGTTGGAGACCGAGGGGAGAGCGGGAATGTCAGTTCAAGCAACAACTTTTGAGCTTCATCGCACTTCGTCGCTTAAATGGTAATGCCGTCTCTTACCCAAACGTGTAAACAAATATCTAGAAGTCACCGAAACAGAGACCTGTTCTATGTGCCGATAAAGCTATGTGTTCAGCTCAGAGTCTTATACAAGGACGGGCAATTCTGCCTGTAACGCTGCGAGCTTGGCCTGTTTCAAAGGGGCTAACAGACAACCCCGGCCGATATTCGCTCGCATCTTTTTCTCTTTTTCTCTCACGCCGCAGGGCGGATCCATCCCGCCCCGTCTGCTTTTCTTTTTTTTTTCTGCTGGGCCTGTGAACCTTCTTTTTTCCCCACCTTTTATACGCCTCAATGCCCAATACCATTATAATCACAAAGCAAGATAATTAGTCCGTCAACCATGAGGGAGTGCTTTAGTCCGATGACGACGACTCCCACGATTCTTCATCTGAAGAGATTTGATCATCTTCATCATCGTCATCTTCATCTTCATCGTCATCATCGTCGTCATCATCCTCTTCCTCTTCCTCGTTTTTCTCCTCCTTGATCCCATTGGGCAAGGTCCTCGGAAGGCCTTGGTCGACAATGCCCTCTTTCTCCTTCCCTTTCTCCCTCGAAACGAGCTGATCTGCCTCGTAACGCCGCTGTTGGGCCAGGAGTGACTGTTGTTGGGCTGGCTGCTGTAGCGAATTCTGCTGCTGCCTTGGCTGTTGCGCTTGACCAGCCTGCGGGCGAAGGTGGTTTATTCCAACCGACCTTTCTGAACCTGATCCGCGGTCAGCCCTACCAAGGCTCATCGCGGGCGATGTAGGGCCCCTGGGGATGTTGAGGGTCCGTGACAGGTCGCCGTTGCTGGCGACCCTGTTGCCGTTCCCATTCCCATTGATAGCTCGGTCCATGTTCGATCGGCCGTTCCTCGGACCACCGCCCTGCGGTAGCCCCGCAGAGCTCAAGAGAGCCACAGCCCAGGCGTACGGTGCCGGCTTCGTCTTGCTCGCGTCCGCCGTGACGCCGTTGGAATCCCCGGGCTTTGGTCTGGACTTCCTGCTAGAGCCCGCCGCCGGGCTGGGAAACGCTTTGCCACTGCGCACGAGCCGTCGAAAGGAAGCAGATCGCTCCAGCATTCCGAGAAACCACCAGTTCAGCCCACCGTCTGTGATCCATCGCAGTCGACGCTCCCTCGTCGTGGTAGCAGGCCGATGCGCGTCGCGCTGCTGTATCCGCAGGAGGAGATCCAGGTTCGCTGCGCGCAGCTCCTGTTGTCCCTGTTCCTCCTGTCGCAGCCGCTGTTGCGACCGCGACTGCATCGGCTGGTGGAGCAGTGGCATCGTGTTAGAGCGCATGGGTACCATCCTGACCTGCCGGGAGCCGTCACCGGCCCAGCCCATCGAGTGCGTAGGTGCGGCAGGCGGCCGCCTGTCCTGCCGCAACAGGATTTTCGAGACCTGCAGTAACTGCGGCATGATTGCCATGTAGGTTTTGGCCCCGGTGGTCTCCATGTGAGCCCGGCCCAGTGCGCGGATCGCATCGCGGAAGGTACGGAGCGGCCCCGCGGGCTCGAGCCTCGTGAGCCCCAGCCCCTTTATGCTAGTATTGAAGGCCGTCACAATGGATGCGGGAACACCTGAACCGGCTTCGACGGGACGGACGTACCAAGCGCGGTGGCGATCGGGCGAGGCGCGCGGAGGGAAGTACATGCACACGAGGTCGTCGATACGGTACTGATCCGCAGAGTATAATGCCTCGTGCCGGAGCACATCCTCGCCGCCACTGGAAACGGCTAGCTCCTGCTGCACACAAGCAGCGTGGTATACTAGTTCATCCAGGTCGACCTCCATCCCGAGACCCGCGGGGCCCGATCCACTGCTACCGGCCTGGCCTTTCTCCCCTTCAGTGGTCGTGGCCGAGACCGATGCGCTGTTCGTGCCCGCCATCGCCGCCGCGGTGGCTTTCACGCGTGCATCCGCACTCAGCCTGTCTAGCTGAGAAAGTGCAAGGCACAGCTCGTGTGCCAGCTCGGTCTCTCCCGGGTCCGAGGTTGTCGCCGACGGTCTGGGCGCGTCCATCTTCACGTCCAGATTCACTACGCGCAGGATCTCGTTGAGCACCAGCAAATTCAACAAGCCCGTCTCCTCGCCATCCTCCCTCATGCCGCGAGGGGGATGTACATCGCTATCCTCAAGACCAAGTAGCCTGGTGCTTCTGGGAGTCGACCGTTTCTGTGTGAGGAAGTAGCGGTCCACGATGGCGTCCTCCGCTCCGCCTTGGTCGCCTCTACCACCGCGGGACCAGGCATGGAAAGACTTGAGATGGCAGAGAAGCTCGGATCTCGTCTCGAATGTGCAGTTTAGATTGCACAGCCCAAAGCCGTGGGCTCGTACGATGTGGAAACCCAGTCGGTGGATCGTGGTCTCGTCGTCGTGCGCGAAGCTCCTGGCGCAGTACATGCAGCCAATGGCGCCATCTTCTCGCTCCTCCGAGGCGCCGTCGATGCCGGTGACCGCCTCGCAGGAGTAGTGGTACTTTGAGCCACGATGGAGCTGTCTATCGAGCACGCCATTAACGCCCCCGCTGCCATCGCCGTTGTTCAGGCTGGGTCTCCCTGCCGTGAGCGTAGCCTTAGTAGCAACGGCGCTTTCAGCAGCCTCGGACCGGGTCGAGCTGATGTCTTCGACTGCCACCTCCGTATCTGATGTGGACAGTTTATCATCGCCAGCCCCCGAGGTTATACCACCAACGCCGCCATTTTGTGCGAGAGATTCAAGCTTTCCTTGAGCAAGTAAATCCAGCTGGCTTCACAGCGAGTACAGGGTTCCGGCATCTGGTTGTAAGCAGGCAAGTCTTCTCAGGGGAGCTATCAAATCCGTTGGTAGCACACTTACCGATCGAGTTTCTTGAAGACATTATCCAAACACTGCTCCTGGGAGATGAAGATTCCAGCAAACTCCTCAAAGGTGCCGTCACGCGCAGCCTCGATCTTCTTCCAAGACTGCCTGAAGCTCCCTGAATCGTCGGCGACTTGGGTCCTAAGTCCATCGACGACAAGCCGGACCTCGGTCATGCAGGCCCTGAGCTGAAGCTCCAAGGGCCCCAGAGCGAATCGAAGCTCACCCTGTGAGGGTACGTGTGCGCCTTGAGGGGCGTCCGAGGAGGCCAGCGTGGATGTACCAGCAACGGCATTATCCGAAGAGGTGGCGGAATTAGGGGACGACGATGATGGCGACAATGACGACCCGTTGAGGACCACGGGCAACCGTCCCAGAAATACTGGAAGCTTGTCGAGGGCACCCTTGAGGCGGTGGGCGGACTCGAGGAGGATACGGACGGACCTTGGCGGGGGCGTGTCAGGTGAATCCTTGTCCTTGACCCCGAGAATCAGTGACCGCAGCGTAAGCAGTCCCTCGACGCTCTGGCCAGCAAAGCGCTTGAGGCTGGTGGTGGTGGTGCTGCTGCCAACCGCGACGGCCCCGGCCGTCTCCATCCGACAGGAGGGGGAAAAAGGTCGAGTATGGTGACAAGCAGCTAAATAAACAAACGAATGGAAATGTAAAGAAAAAAAGAGAGAAATCGGTGGCGAGCAAAGTGGCAGCACACCGTGTTCGTTGCCGTTGCTGCTGTCGTTTTAGCTGCTAGTCTTCCTCCCCTTTCTTCAGGGTTATTTTATCTCGGCAGGATTTTTCCCTCCTCCGCCCTTTGCCTTTCTCTCCCCCTTTTTTTTCGAGCGATTGTGATAAGAATGCGGGGATGGGAGCGGATCTGCACGGCTAGATCGACTGTTGATTAACCCCCCTTCGCCCGTGGACTGCCCCTGGAACGGGCCAGGCCAACACAGCGGCGGCGGTGGCCGAGATGGGTGGATTGCTGGCGGACGGAGGCGGGATACCGGTACTGTGGAGGCCAAGCCTCTTGGGTGGTCATCCGGACGGCTCGTCAGGCCCAATTGCCAGATGGAGGTGGTGTGTGGTGGTGCCAGCGTGCGTGCTCCACCGGCCTGGCTAGCCCGTTTTCTGTGCCCAAATGTCGTTTGGCACCCCCTAGACGGGACAGCACAGGCCAATGGCCAATGATGGGGATGGCTGGAGTCGGGCGGCCAGAAGAAGAGACTAGGAGGGAGAGAGGGATTGGGATTGTGATTGGGATTATTGAGCAGCGGAACCGAATAGTTGCGTTAAAGAAGAAAAAGAAAGAAAAAAGAAAAAAAAATCCAAGCAAAAAAGGCGGTATCACGCTGGCTGCTCAGAGGGACCCAAAAGGCGGCTGTGGACTGCTGCTGTGGTTGTGCGTCGCGGTGTGGGGGCACTCCTCGGTGACAGAACAGCCCGGGCCAACAGAGCAGCCCGTTCGATTTTTTTTGATAGTCATGTGGACATCAACAATTTCCCAAATTTGACTCCGAAGGGAAAGGGGGCACCTGTCAGCTCGCTTCGTCAGTCCGCCCGCGCGCGGACTACCACCAAACTAGCAGCTTTCGGAAAGGGCAGGTTTGGCGGCAGGGAGACTGCACGTGAGAAAAGACGGCTGGGGACAGACAAGGGAAGAATGGACGACGTGGGAAACGATGAAGCGGTGGAATTGATGCGATTGATTCTTCAGTTCGGGCGGGCGGGCTTTGTGGATAAAATCCCGATCTTCTGGTGTTCTCGTTCTTTCTCCCTGGCTTGCTCCTTCCCCTCTTTCGATTGTTTCTTTTTGCTCATGGCAGAACAGAAAGCAGGAGGCAGGTGCGAAGGGGCCAACAGAGATAGACTACCAGCCACCACCTGCCAGCAATCACACCATCGCATTATCCCGTGCTTTCGCTGCCTGGTCTCGTGGCCGCAAGGAAGAGACGGGGGGAGGAGTGGATGCTGCTGCTTCTGCAGGTGCTTCTGGGCTTCTGGGCTTCTTTGCAACTCTACCCCCTTTGGCCCGCCCTGAACCCCCCGTCAGATAGAAGCCCGAGCCTGATCCAGGGCCGCGGGGAGCTGTCGTTGGACGAGATTGGGCCCGGGTGGGGAGGCAGAACGGATCAATTGCTCAAGGGCCGTCGAGGGTCAGGCCCCCAACCCCTCGTCCAATCGTGACCGGGTGGGGGAGACGCCCTGGCCACGGGCCACATGCTGCAGCCCAGGAGGGGAAAAGAGCACTCAATGCTCCCACAGACGTCGACCTCCAGACTCACGTGGGGCACATGGAAGCGCACAAGAAGTCCCAGTTAGGTAACAAAGGATAGACTCTCGGTATCATTGGCTTCCCCTCTTTGCTTTTTGTTGAGTTTCTTGGCATTGGGTGGTTGTTCCAGGTGCTACCTTTCTGGCGGCTATTACATATCGCATTCATCGCCTGCCACCACCTCCTCCGGACGCACCACCCACCACCCATCCATCTCGATCTATCCTTGCACCCTCCCGTTTTGCTGTCACATGCGAGCGACGCGACCACGCCAACCGCCGTCCCCCTAATCTATCCTTTTTCAGTTCCTGCTACGCGTGATTCTTGGGACGGCCTGTGGTGGAAAGAATTTTATCCTCTTCACGCGGTGGCATCGGCCTCGGGCCTGGCAGTGGTACGATATCACCAAGAGCAAGGGCTTGAATCCTATCGCAATACACGCGCAGGTTGGGCTCCCGGAAGAGGAGAGCGATAACTTGCTCATCGGGCTGTGTCAGGCTGCTTGACATGTAGAACCAGGCTCCCTGGACAGGATTGGATCGGTTGATGGATGGCTAGGCCACTGACAAGTTTAGCCACCGTCTCATTCCCCTCCCTTTAGTTTCCCGAACCGCATAAGCGGGTGCATATCTGGCGAGCCTGGAGCCGCCTGTCCCTCTTCGCACACGGAAAACCCTATCTCCCAGGCATATATACTTGGATGCATATCTGTAGGCCGGTATTTAGGCATAATCAATGTTCGAGACTCTTTCCGTCGTCTATAGCCCAGAGAGATACGCGATTGTTCAAGAGGAAAGTGACCAGGATTGCTATCCTGAGCACGAGGCCCCGAAGCAGTCCTAAATCAGGTACCTGTCTGAAAGTGCCTATCTCGCATCAGCGCCTCCAACGTCAAGCTTGCTGTCGGCCACAGTGTCCCGGTTGCCGTTTCCCCCATGTGACACTTGGCTCTCCATTTTGTGACTCTCGCTGGCGGATGGCTCAATGCTATATGTGGTGTCGCGATGAGCATCCATGACCTCTCTATTCCACACGTTGACGTATAGAGGATAGCTAGTGGATGATTCGTCAGCCTGGAAACTGAACAAGGGGGCAGAAATCAAAGGCTGGAGACTGGAAACCCACATCCAAGCCAGGATATAGCCCATCATGGGAATCACCATGGCAATGTGCGCCCCCCTCGCGTCCATCAAGGCGCCCGTCATGGGCGGGAAAACCATGCCTCCCGAGATGGCGGCGACCAGGAGGGAGCCCCCTATCTTGGTGTGGCGGCCCAGGCCGCGTAGCCCAAGTGTGAATATCGTGGCAAAGCAGGCAGACTCGAAGCAGAGTACCAAAATCAGCATCGCGATCGACACCGTTCCCGCCGTGTTAATGGCCGCCGTGACGAAGACGAAGCAAAGTCCCAGGTAGAGCGCGAGGATGTAGCGAGGCCGCACCGCCGGTATCGTCATCAACAGGCCAGCCAGGAATCGGTTCAGGGCGTACAGCCCTTGACCTAGGGCGAGAAGGTCGGCTGTTTTAGAAAATCGCGTCAGTAAACTGCCACCGCAGCCGCCGCCGCTGCCACGATAACCTACAGCCTTGGGCTTTATCCCGTCCGGCTTCGACGCAAAACTGGATAAAGTAGTTCTACAATCTCACGCGATGTGTCAATGTAGGCATCAGGCAGGAATGGGGGGGGGGGGACGATGTGGTTCCGCCCATACCGCAACTGCAACCTGCGCGCCGACGTAGCAGAACTGAGACCAGATGGCCAAGAATAGGTTGTACTGCTTTCGGAACGGGCCCGGGTCCGCGCGGCCCATCTCGCCCTCCTGGGCGTTCATGTCCGCGTCGGTGATCTCGGGCATGGGCGCCAGGAAGAACAGGACGATGAGCAGGGCAACAAAGCCCGCAACGCCGAGGTACACCCACTGTACGTTCTTCAGCCCCTCGTTTGTGTCGATGGTGTTGGCGAAGAAGACGCGCGAGGCCAGGAGAGGCGCGACTGTTTTTTTTGTTTTGGAAGAAGAACAAGGGGTTAAGTCTTGCCCCCACCACACCATAGGAGGATGGCGGCGACGCGGGATAACACTCACCAAACGAGCCGACGCCCTGGATTGCCTGGGCGAGGTTCAGGCGGACCTCGGAGTAGCGAGGGGGTCCGCAGATGGACAGAAATCTGGTACAAGATTTCGAAATCAAGCGGTCAGGTACTGCAAACGAGCACCCACGACATCTTCAAGACCAACGATACCAAGCCACTTCGGCCCGGACACAGGGGTAAAGAAAACGTACGGATCGGCAGCGGTTTCGAGCGTCGCGAGGCCGGCGCCGACCACAAACATGGACCCGCAGTACCCGCCATAGGACTGCCTCAGGCCCGACGGCCAAAACAGCAGGCAGCCCACGGCGAGCACGGCGAGCCCCGTCATGAAGGTGACGCGAAAGCCGGACCGGCGCAGGATCCAGCCCGATATGGTGGGTGGGCAGATAAAGTAGGCGCCAAAATAGGCCGACGAGAGGCCGGCGCTCATGCTACCCGTGAGGTTCAGCGAGCTCTGGAAGTGGGCGTTGAGGACTGCCAAAAGGGGACGAGAGGGGGAGAGGGCGCCATCGTGTCAGCAGGGCTACCTAGGCCCAGGGGCAAGTGATGGTTCAGGGTGTCGCGCTTACCATCAAGCAGGCCTGTTTTTTTGGTCGACGTTTTCTCATCAGCGACGCGTTTTCCCCGGGGAGAGAGGAGCGCGCAATCACGGCCTACCGTATGCAAAGCCCCAGAGGAAAAACAGGATCGTGACTACGATGTTTCGCTTTCTCATCAGCCGGCGCCACTCATGTTGGGGACCATGGTGTAGTCAGGGGCCATCCTACCGAGCAAGTTGGGAACGAGGGATTGCTTGACAGTGAGGTGAACAGCACCAGTGACAGTGTCGTCACTGACGGTGATTTTGCGCTTCCATATAGCCATATTTGTGGCACCTCTTCCTTGGTGTTCTGTTGTTGTGGAGTCTGGCTGGTAGGTATAGCGAGGGCGTGATGAAAAAGCTTGAAGGAACCCTGGTCGTCGTAATCCAATTTCTCTGGAGGTCAGACGTCTGTCTCCCTTGCTTGTTTTATAAGCCGACTGGATCTTAACGGCGTTGTCCGTATATGTCTTTTACCAGGACAGCGAAGTTCAGCGAGCAAGCATGAAATTGAGAGTGAAAGATGCCTATGGACCGGATGTCACCGGAATAAATTGCTAGTGATGGGTTCCCGTGTCTGGCAGATACGCCGAGGTCGTGCTGGAGCCAGGCCGAGGACAGCTACCCCTGGGTGGAAGTGTGGCAGAGACAGAATGCCGAGTGACTCTGAGCTCGGAAGGTGAGCGGCGTTCCAGCGACATTAATATCCAATCCCTCCCACTGTATGCATCATGCCCTCCGTGATCCTCTCCGTCATGTACTATGGAAGCAGACCACCACACGGGCACGTAACCGTCAACACCACCAAATCCTCCCAACACCGAACACAGAAACCAGCACCATCATTCGGCTGCACGCATCCCCCGCATATCTCTGCTGACCACCAGAGGGCAGGCGACACCTCCGTCGGGCGTCATCAACCCGAGGCGGTCTTTCCTCTGTGCGACACAGCAGGGAGCTCGATATGGAGGAGGTGTGGGTGCCGTGGCAGGGACCAGTACCAATAAGAGGAGAAGACAACAGTCTCAATGTAAAGGCCCTTTTTGCTGCCCATCACTCGCTGTCAACAAAACAGGATGCACCGGCGCTCGTCGCGTGGCACACATGCAATGCAGGGCGAACTCGAGCTGCCTAACCTGGCCTGGCGAAAAGACTCGGGTGACGACGACGGACGGGATCGAGCATTCGATTCTCTTTGGAACGGCACCCGCAACGTTGCTTCGGAGTGGAACGGTGGCGCACATGGGGGACGGGAGCCACATAGCTGCCAATGCTACGTTTGTGCTGTGAAAATAACACATCCTCCTTAGATCTTGCTGGGTGTCCAGGATGCAAGGGATGGGGGAGTTGGAAACAACCAGACTCGTCCAACCGACAAAACATGACGGATTTGGCGGTGGCTGTTGGTCCTCATTTTCGGTACCGTTCGATCTAACGGATGGAAATCCGGCACTAAACCGCCCGAACTGTGGGGAATCGAAGGGGACTAACCCAGAGGCCAGGGCCAGGGGAAGCCCGGCAGTGAGCCCTGGAGATCCAGCCCGAGTGGGGGGATAGGATGCCCATCCGAATCCCCACCTCCACTCAATGTTTTTCGCATCCACCTGTACCTCAAATGTTCAAATGTTAGGTTCCAGTTGAAACGCCAAAAGTGTATCGATATCTTGATTCCCATGCCAGACTAGAGGGTCGTACACCCACTGATATGCCTACCGCCTTCTTACCCGGCATTCGGGCCCTGTCCTTGTCAAACGCGACACCTCTGGGCCGCTGGCCACGTCTTGCGCGTGACATTCGGATCGTCTCCTTGGGGTACAAGTGGATCGGGGTTTGCCGTTGGCCACGACACTAATGAGGGCGCCTACGGAGCAGGCGGCCTGCTACGCCATAACTTTGCAGAATAACTGGCAAAGATACAAGTCAATTATTATGCTAACATCGCTTTCGACGAGCCTATTCTCAGCACTCGTAGAAGCCTTCCTTTCCAGATAACATGCCTGCAGTTGTGAATAGCATCATAGGGCCTGATTTCTTGGGTTTACTGCCATCCAAAACAGAGCCAATTCCAGTCGAATGGGGTTCTTTGTTGGTTTGACCAGTCTCTACGGCTCTGACTGTATAGGTAGCTACCCGGATGTCGCGCAAGTAACAGAATCGCTGGGACGGGCTCCCTAGATACGACAAGAGACCCAGGAATCAAGGCTATGGGGAGCTCGCAGCTATTTAGTGGCTGCCGATCTCTTTCTCCAGAGTTTCGAGCTCTTTGAGCACGGTGCCCTTGGTCCCGATCTTCTTCATCTGCGTGTCCTCCAGCTTCTCGCCGCTCGCCAGACGCATCTCCAGCTCCTCGATCGCCCGGATTTTCTTCTGCAGCCCGCGCTGCTTCTTGGCAAGAGGGTTGGCTGTCTCTGAGATGGGTGAAGGAAGCGGTGCCCCGCCGCCCTGGAGACTGGTCTGCACAGCTGGCGGCAGCCGATTGTTCCGATGCCGGGACACGGAGCGCTGCCGCGGCTCCGGGCCACCCATCCCCTGCCGGTAAGTGTTGCTACGGCTGCGGCCGCCACCAGCATTACTGCGTGACTGGCTGCGCGAGTGCCCGCCGGACCCGAAGCCCCTCGGGGTGCGCTCAGGGCTACGCCCGCCGTTCATGGAGGCATCCATACCGTTATGCGGCGGCAGCGAAAGGCTGGCACCGCCCTCGCCGGGCTTGCCCTCGGCCTCCTTCGCCTTCTTGTTCGCCCTCTTCTTCTTGTTCTTGGACGCTGCCTTGGAGAGGCCGTCCTCTCCGTCGGCCGGATCCGCGCCAGGCACCGAGGCTGGGGCTGCGCCGGGAACAGACGCGAACTCGGCGCCCGGGACCTGGTTGCGCGGGCGCCCGAACACCCCTCCGTTGAGGTTGAGCTGCGACACTCCGTTGCTAACGAAATGCGCCGCGCCTCCCTCGTCCTCACGCTTGAAATGGAGCGGGGTCGTAGTGCCCCGTGCGCCAGGGGGCCGGTAAGCGCCAGCGGGCTTGGATGGGGTCTTGACCGTGCTCAGGAAGGTGGCGGCAGAAGAGTGAGGGTCGGGGACGGGCTGCAGCGCGTCGCCCGTCGGGATCCTCTCCGGAAGCACCGGCCGCCACATGACGTTATACAGCTCGACCATGTCCTCGCTGTACATGAGCTTACCACCCACGTGCCACAGCTTGACTCCGTTGTCGACACGCAGGCGAGGCGAGGTCGTGGCCGTCATGATATAGCGGCTGTCGGGGCTCCACTGGCAGACACTCGGGTTCCCGCTCTCGATGGTGCAGAGCTTAAGGTGGTCCCTTTCCAGATCGTAGACGTCGATCTGCCCGGCCAAGTTGCCGAATCCGGCCACCAGCGCGAACCGGCCGGTGGGCGAGAATATGATGGTGTTCCGGGGGCCGAGGGGGAACGAGTGCGTGGCAACCGCGCGCTGATTGAAGATGGTCGTCTTGGCCGGCATGTACCCATAGATCACGCCAAACTCTTTCGAATTGGGAGACCAGGAAACGTCGTGGATGGGCCCCTCCTTGTCCAGGGCGATGCGGGCGTCGAAAGTGCCGTTGACGCTGAGTAGGTACAGATTGGTTTCTCCATAGTAGCTCTTGTTCGACTTGTCGACATCCGTCTGGGCCAGCACCAGGATGCTGGAGCCCAGCGCGTTCCACTTCAGCTGCACCTTGTCTCCCTTGAAGAAGGTCTTCTGGGAGACGGGGGCGTTGAACATGGGGACATTGAAGACCTTGACGGCAGCGGGTTGACCCTATAAAAGAGAAATAATCATGCAAGTCAGTATTTGTGGACACATCTGACAAGCGGGTGAGGGATGTGTAGGTAGGTGGCTTGAGCAGCATAGCCGCCCAGGAGTGCCACGAGCACGAACCTTGCGTTCTGGGATAAAGACCGCCAGCGCATGTGCCTTTCCAGGCGACAGCGCAAACTCTGCGACTCCTTCAACCCGAAGCTTGTTCCAAACGGTGACCAGATCGTGAGCCTCGAAGAACTGAACCTCGTTGGTCACCATGCGGGCGCAGAACTTCTCATCGGCAGTGTACTGGAGGTTCCAGCCGTTGGGCGACTTCTGGACAAAGCGGCCCAGCGGCTGCCTCTCGGCACCCTCGACGACATCCTCGACCGTGCGCCAGACCTTGAGGTTCTTGGTCGCATCGCCCGCCTCGTCCTTGGATGGGCGTTCCCAGGTGCTGAAGTAGGTGCCTCGTGGCGAAAAGCCGAGCTCGAAGACGTTGGGGATGGCCAGTGACAGGAGGACCTGGCCAGACGCCGTGTCGGTCACCTTGACGATTTCGTTAGAGGCCCAGGCAAAGTAGCGACCGCACGGCGAGTAGACACAAGTCCGCAGGTTGCCCGTCGGCTTATCGAAGCCCGGAAGGTCGGCATAGACCGGCTCCGCGTCGAAGACACGGATGTCCTTCAGGGTCCGGGTAGCAAACTGAAGTGAGATAGCCATGACTAGTCAAAGACACAGGTACCGCAACGACAGGGTGTGGCTACCGAGGGTGACGGCGGATGGATCGTGGTGGGCGGCTTCGTTCTTTCTTTTGGGGTTTTTTTCCGGCCGGCTTTGGAGTTGGCTGTAGTCCAGGAGTTTTGAGCGTGGTGGACTGCTGTTTGGTTCGTGCAGCTGGGGCTATTGCCTATGTAATCGTGCCTTTGACCGAGGTTGGCTTGGGGGCGCAAAGACGAACAAAGAAGGGCCGTCCGTCTTTGGCGATGGGTCGCGGGGGCGATGATTCAGGATCGAGTCACAGACTTCTTTCCACAGTCACTTCTCAAGGGCGGCAGTGGATGAGCCAGCGACGGGACAGGCGAAGGCAGGGCGCGCGTGACGGCGACGATCGGGCACGATGGAAGCCAAGGGGGTTTTTCTCGGGCGGCGGCTGTGGGAGCAAGCGACTCAAAACCGGGGCCCGGCGAAGGTCCAAAGCAAACTGAGGGGAGAAGAATGAAGAACGGGCAAGGAAACGGAGCACCCCGGAGGGAGGATTGGCAGGCGGGCGCGCTTGGTCGAAAGGAAGCGACCGGGTTGAGAACACGGGAGGAGAAAGAAAGAAACGGATGCAAGTAAGAAATGCAGGCCGTGATGATTTTTTTTGTTTTTACCACTCTGTTTCGTTTACCGGCCCCACCCTCTACCCTGGCGGGCGGTCACAGCCCCGAAGGGAAAAAAAAAAGAAAAAGAAAAAAAATCCCACCCCATAAAGCCGTTGTCGCTTAAGGCCCGCCATGGTCTGGCCGCGCCCACGCACCAATCTGGGTGCTACCCTGAGCGGCCAGCGCAGTCATTGGCTGCCAATCGGCGTGGGCCGCGTGCCAAGTGCAGACGCGGGACTGGCCCGGCCACAGTGGCAGCCGCGGGCAGCCCATTCAAATCGCGAATTCTGCCCCTTCATCCTTGGAAGACTGGTGGGGATGTAGCAACATCTGCAGCATCTGCAGCATCTGGTTTGCTGCGTGAATGACTTGGGCCGTCGATAGGCTCTGAGCAGAGCCTTGTGCGCGTACGTAAGCCCCATGCACGTAGATGGTGGATGCAGTCTGCGCAACTCGACCGACGGTGTCGACACGGCAAAATAGGTGATAGGTCCAACATGGTACTTGAAGCCTCCCAGGGTGTCAAGCCCAGGCCTGCTCAGTCAAAGTTAGCTTACTTGATGTCCTGATGGCGTGCCGCAGCTACTGCCCTTGGTCCCCATTTCCTGGTCCCGTTGGGCCCCTGAACCCTACCTACACCCCACGTTTTGTCAGCCTTGGTTTTCCCTTTCTGCCTTGGAAGCCCGCCGCACTCAAGCGGCTCTTCGGTGCCCCGTTACTCTTTGCAAGCTCCCGTTATTCACTTTCGCCAACGAGGCGGCGGGGCGCCTAATCTTGGTGCTAGCCGATAAGCCCTGCTCGGACGGCCTCGTCGCCTTCTCACGCTAACCACCTCCATTCCGCTCTAGGATAGCCCCGAAGCTCGGCCACGCCGACAATAGACTATTATCTACCGCTTCAAGTTCCAAACTCGGGCTTTAAGCTGATAACCTCTCTGTGCCTCTGTTCCAGTGCATATATACCCATGGTCAGTGGCTGGATACAGCCACGCTTCCGTTTGGGGTTGAGCAGAATTGCTGGGGATGTCGGCCCTGAGGCACACATGCAAGTGGGCTGCGTGCCGCAATTCTACAATGGCTCATCGAGCCATCTCCGAGACAAATGAAGCTACTGGAGAGCAAACTTGTCGTGTAGCCATCTTTCATGGGCATATCTTCACCGTTTCAGCCTTTCACACCTTCTGCTTCATAGAATGCCGCCAAGACAATTTTGGGGCAGATGTTCAAATTCTTGTACATGGCTGGGTTGTCGTGGCAGCAAGAAAAAACAAGCACACAAAGTGAGCAAGACTTGGGCTAGGCGAATGATGGATTCATACCACATATTAACTTCAGGCAAGACATCTAAAGTTCCATGATTCGGGTTGTAAACTTGCTCTAATGACCGTTATCGTTGCCTGGGCTTCCGATACGTCTAGATTCATGCCATGCACGCATTTCTTCCTCTCAAGCATTTGCTCGAGTTACATTATACATGGCAAGCCAGCCAATGCGGCTGACCTGCTGGTGAATACCCGATCGATTTCGCGACCGGGGAGGTCGATCAGTCCCGCGATTCCACGCCATGCCTACCACATCCGACAGCAGGTCGACCCTTGATCGTGTCGTGTATCATTCATGATAGACCAGCTGAGCCCTGCGCAATGGACCTACCAGCCCCAAAATATTCCCCGACACCATTCTCGGCCGGACAACACCTGATATTGCCTATTTACTCACAGCCTCTTCCACCTTCCCTTGCAGTGCCTTGACAGTCGAAAGGGTGGGTTCTGCGGCCGCAGCCCTTTCCTTGCCTCCCCACTGGTGCCAGTCGAGATACCGGTAGCCCTGGGTCAGCTGGGCGCCGGCGTTGACGAAGTGGCAGGCGAACAGGAGGTAGTTCTTGGGAGTGACTGCCAGCGAGTATCGCATGAATGTTCCAGCGTAGACGATGAGCGAGCCCGTCATGGTGGGCGAGATCCTTTGAGGACGACGGAGGTTAGCCGGGGATGAATGGGAAGAAGGGTTTGGGAAGGCCCGTGTCGTGGGACAAGCGTCTTGGAGGAACCTTACATCTCGGGGCTTTTTTGCGTGTCCATGACAGCCGCAAGGGGGATGCCAAAGTTGGACGCCGGTCCCCAAAAGTCTGCAGCCAAATGTTCCGGTTAGCAACGCCGATTTTCCAGCAGAAACGAAAATGCTTGGCGGCCCAATCCCGCGACCCCTCCACGCTGCCCCCTCCGCTGTGTCGCCCATGCCGTTCCCGGACAGTTCGGAATGACATGTCGCACACGAGAAGTGGGTGGGATATGCCCGGGCGCCGGCGACTATTGCGCAAGTCGACGGGGCGCGGAGGGAGGGAGGGTTCCGGCGTCTCCGAAATCGGGCAGCTGGCACGGAGGCAGGCGGCGGCGTGGCGGCACGCGACATATTATTACGTACGGGTCGAGCAGAAGTAGTCAGTCACAGGGTTGGCCCTGATGCGAGCGTTTATCGCCTTGACGAATGCCGCCATTTTGAGAGCAATTGGGTGGCCGACGTCGCTGGCTTGGGTGTGCTGGGCAACGAAAAAGGAGGGATGCAAAATTATTCCCAGGGTCGCGATAAAGACGTTGGGAATGGAGTTCCGACGATTCTCCAAATTTGTGGTGGGTCTCCTCTGACGGATTCCGAACAAGTGGCACGTGACTTGGGATTTCCCAACGAATCGGGGTGGTGTCGGGGTGCTCCGAATGTCGGTGCAACGCCAACAAAAGAGCAGAGAGGGTGAATGGCTAAGACGATGATAGGTGCAGTACAAGCAGGGACTTTGCTCTTTGAGGGTCCAGCCCAGCCTCGCGACAGCTTAGCGCGAGCCCAGGCTGGCTACGGCGCTGTTCGTTTGATAGTGCAGGCGTTTTGACAAGGAGCATTATCCTAGGTTGTTTTGATATTGACCCCAGTTCCCATCTCTTCGGTCAAGTTTATCGACTCGAGTTCTCATTGAGTTTGGATTACGGGCAACTTCCATGTTCGAGTGTGTCGTTTTGGTTCAATAAACGACAGCTACAGTGCTTTGCAACCACTTACCGAGTTGGATTTGTCTTTAAAATAGCTCTCAGAGCCTCAACTTTGCAATGGAAATAAAACGCAGAGACCGTCTGCCATACATGGGTCGGTCGGCAGGCAGTATGACGTCACAGGCCGAACCCGCCGACTCGAGCGGGAAAGCCGACAGCAGCCGCCAGGGACGGGCGGAAGAAAGCCGACAGTCAATCAATGCCAGACGGCGCCGCAGCTCGTCACGGGCGCCGATGGGGCCATGGGGCCTGGCTGGGCAGCTCGTTGCCGCATCCGGGTCGCCACTGGCTGCTGTCTGCGCGGGGTGGCTGCCGATCGCTGTTTCGCCGGCGCCGATCCTGATTTTGCGGGCGCCAGCAAATTTCCTCGGGCATCCGGGCCGCGTCTCCACCCTGCGCTCCCACACGCTCCTTCCGTCACACGCCGCGCCTTCTGCGCGCGATCGGGCCAATGGCCGAGCCACAGCGCCGCAGATCGTTCCACTCCGTCTCTATCCATCTGTGGCTCCCCTCATCTCAGCTCTTGTCTGGTCCGCTGGGCCACCGAGCCACAGCTGCGCCGCCACCAACGGGCGATTTGTGGCTTGTGATCGTCCTCCCCCTTTCCTTCCTCGGCGTCTTCCAGCCTCCACGCGCATGCTTCTACTTGGTGATAGAATCGCTCGCTCAAGCCATACCGCGGACTGTGGCTGCCTCTTCGATCGGCGAGCACTTTGCCGAAAGCGCCTCAACCCACGGACCTCATCACCGTCTAGGCCCCATGAAAACGTTGAGGAGGAGCCACGGCGATCCCGACACCCCCCTCCTCGCATCCGCAGGACACATTGCCCGATGTGGCAATCCTCGACCGCCATCTGGTTGTTCCATTGGCGGCGCCTTGCCCACCCGGGGGCGTGTCCCTCCTCCGTCGCATTTCCATCCATCCTGTGCTCAGTTAGGGTCACGTCCCGTTTTGCCCGCTGTGGCTGGACCTCCAAAGGGCGTACCCGTCCGTGGCGAAATCGGTCCGTTGCCGTGTGGCGAAGTTCGTCGAGGCCGCCCGTGGTTGTCGTCAGCCACTGCTGCACGAGGGGAGGTTAATATCCCTTCCTCCGCGGACTGGAGTCTTGCCAGCAGCTTTGCAGCCAGTGAGCGCCTGCTGCTATCTTCTGTCACAGGGACGCGCGCGTTGTGGCGAGACATCGTCCCATCTTCCCCATGCCTTTTGTTCTAGCCACATGGGCATGCCGAGCTTCAGCCGGTGATGTGGCTTCACACCCACACCCCACCCAGTCTGAAGATCTTCGCCTCTGCCGTTCTAGACTCCAGGAGACAAGCGCACTGAGGATTCTCCGTCTCCAGCTGACCCGCTGGGGATTCGCGGCCCTCCTTCCCCTCAAGTGCATCTTGCCCTTGCCCGGCTGAGCTCTGCGTTCTTTGCATCTTGTCGATCTCATTGGGATGGAGGGGGGGCCCGCATGGGTTGGTGCGTCGTTCCCGTCGGCTTGACTGTGTGGGAAACGTTCGGGACGGTCAAGGGGCGAGGGTAAGGGTACCTGCCTCTATTTATTACAGGCGCTCGCCTGGGAGCAGCACCTCACACCCGTCCACGCCCGAACGCACACGCCCCCATCCTATACCGCACTTCCGCCCCAAGGGTCCAGCTCTTCGGGGCCGTGGCTGGTGCACGCGCGTTCGCGCTACGGCACTACCACCCTGTAGAGGTATGCCGCCGATAGGGCACGCATATTGCAGGGGGGTTTCCGAAGCTGTGGTACAAAAAAGATACATCTCACCAAAGTACACACAAAGTTCCCACCCTCCACTCTTCCCTGGATCAACCTACCACCTCTCTCTCGCTGTCCCTTTTCCCTTGACTTTACCTTTGACAGGCGGACAGTCAGCACATCGGTGGCAGAACTAACGATGAGATGCATGTCATAAAATTTATTCCACAAGCTCCGCTTCCACTAGCCACGCCGGTCTGACTGGCTCGAAAAGCTCAGTGCTGCTGCCGTTGGTGGCGGCTGCTCATAAAAGATCGGCGCTGTCATACCCATATCGGGAGCAGTCGTGGGAATCTCGTCTCTCTTTTCGCACCAATGTCGAGACCTCAATGACCCACACCCTCACTCCTCGCTTCTGTTCACCCCCCCCTCCCCCAACGTCTCGTGGGTTTTCTTCCACCTCATGTCTGCATGGCCGGCGCCTCCCTCAAATTGTGGCGGGTGAAGTCCGTTCTCTTCACCCAATCACTCCAGATTTGCTATGGAGGTACCGATACAGAGACACCCCATATATGCAGTTGAGGTAAAAGTCGCTCTCCCAGCCGCGGATTTGCGACAGCTTGCCTCGGGAGGATTGGTTAGATGTGCGCGCAGCCGCACGCCCGACGTGCCATGCATGCCGGAGCTGTGATATCCCACATATACCCTCCCTTTCGGCGACATTCCGGGAAGTGGTGGGAATATTATCCAAGCATGCCAAAGGAGCAGATTATGTACCATCCAGCAATGGAAAATTAGGGGCAAAGAAGAGCCTTGGAAAAGGAAAATGTCAGCAGAAAAGCGGAATCAAAACGGGGTGGCAGAGTAAAAGGAACAAAACGTAGTAGAAGGTCACCGGAGAGGACCGACCATGGAGTTTGAACGACGCATGTTGGGTTGGAGATCACGCGTGATAGTTAGCGGACGAAGACTGCCCCTTTCTGCCGTCCCACCTCTCAATATTGTGAGTAGCGATCTCAGTACATCAACAATAATTTCACCGACCAGCAAAACACGAGTAGTCGATAGTGGCAGAACTATAAAAAGTATGCAGATCCGGCCAAATGCAAAGGGACATGCGACCAGAAGCCGCACCAGCCACCCTCTTTGACGCTAGAGGCTTTACTGAGCAGGAGAAGATGCATTACCTCTCGCACCACGCTCCCCTCGCTCACTAGAGGTTGCAGCGAAACTATTTCGACCACTCGCCGTATCATCAGACATGCATACGTCGAGTTTGATCCGACAGCCCGGCTCTTGTCGACCTCCATACTCGCAACAGGTCCGCCCCCCACCCCAAATGCCTAGGTTGTTAGGTACCCGGTCGCCGGTTCGGAGACCACCGTTGGCGTCAAGAGGAAATTGTCACGAGGGTCGCTCCTATTCGCCCGTAAACGGCCCTTGGGTGTGCAATCAGAGCACAGAATGGACTGGCCGCTTGTCCCAGGGCCCGTTTGACACTTGTCACAAGCACCATCATCGTTGCGCCAGTCGTTGTGTACCATTGGGCACGTCATGTAACTAACTAGCGGCAGGAGGCGGTACGGGGCAAGGAGAGAATGGGGGATAGCAACATGCAAGCTGTATATGTGGCGGCATGTGTTGGCACGGGAGGTTGCTACCTGCGTGCCTGCCTACCACACCTCCATCCCTAGGCCGTAGGGATGGGAAGGCCCAAGCGGGAGAGAGAGGCGGACATGCTGACAAGTGTCCGCCGGGCACCTGCGTGCCGCCAACGCAGCCGACCTCGCCGGTTCGGCTTACCCTCTCACGAAGTTCATCTGGAGAGCCCCAGATAAAGAGGGCGTAGCATTGAAACGCCGTAGAGGCAAGGTTGGGGCCGGCGAAGGAGAAGGAACTAGGGAACTAAGCCCGAGCTGAAAAAGAAGAGAATGCGATGGCGGTGACTGAGGTGGCTAACACTTCCAGAGCCGTCTTGCGTCAGCGTCCTGGCGTTGACGTGTCTTGGGCTCGGCATCTACCACGACTGACCGCTCTTGATCACCACCCAAAGTGATATCAGGCTGCCGCCACAGGCGGCCCCTTGGGCATCCAGGAAGACACCGAGGGTAAAGGGGTGTAGGCAAAGCAAAAGGACCGCCAAAGAGCCCCAGACGAAGGAGGG